AAAATTTATAAGACGGAATTTCCAGGCTAAGTTAATTTCCACCGCCTTCCATTAACGGTCTTGGTTGGTGAGTATTTTTTCCTCAAACACAGTTTTTTGTAATTAATTTTTCAGTTTCAATTGTTCATAAAAAAAAAACTAGGTAAACCAATCTGAATAAGGATTTTAAAAAGTCATTCCCGTATGCCATCTTGTTTCTGATGTTGATTCTACACAGGTTGTACAAGGTTCTACAAAATATATTTGAACCTTCTTTCTTTGTGAGAACTACTAACCAAAAATAGCCTTGACCATGTTGTTAGCTATTAAATCCTTTTCTCCAATTATTTACTAAACAGTTTGAATTTGTACTTTAATTGAGCGTAAACTAAAAAATGTCTTAAAATCCTATTTTAATTTACTATTTAGTAAAACTGTGTCAAGTTAACGTTGATATCTATGTGTCGTGGTCTTGACCAATTGTATGAGTGATGGCTTTTATAAAGAAAGTTCAAAATGTAATTCCAGCTCGACGCGTGCTTTTGACAGAACGTTCTTAGGTCTTGAGCGAACTAAAGACCCACGCTTTGCTCCTACGCTTCTCTGGTACTCGACCTGGCAAACATCTGAGCAGTGTGTGAGTTGCTGCTTGAATTTTATAGCTTCATTACAGGATGTGCAGGAAGTAGTGTTCAAATGATGTGGGTGTTTTTGTAAAGAGCTTACTGGCATATATGTGATCCAAAAAACGTATGTAAAAGTTCCTTTATCTTCTTTGTTTCTCTGAAAGAGTGTGAACTCTTGTATTCCACACTAAACTAATTTCTCGTACTCTGTTTTACAGAGTATATAAAACTTGAAAATTTCAATCCAAACTCATTACTCGGTGTTATAGGCCTACGTTTGGTTGAATATCGTCACTTAATTGCGTTGATTTGATTGTTAATAGTGCGCTTAATTTCTTGTTCTCAAGTTTGTCACATAATCTTGCGTCTATATTGTCTTAGCTTATACACATAGATGACCCGTCCGACCTGACTAAACCATGTAATTAATCCACATTGTTGATGTGCTACTTGCATTAATTACTTGCTCCTATGCAATCAAAGTGACATGGGTAATATAATAGCAATAGTTAAGCTGTAAACTGCATCTCCTGTATTTTGATAGAATGTATATTCATTATTTTCTTAGTTTTAAACTACGGACTTAAAATACGCAGTATAATAAACCTGCTCGGATGACTTTCAAGTCTCAACGTAAAATAATGGGATAAATTTGAACCCATAAAAGTAATTACTTTTTCGCCAAAAAGGTGATCACTATTTTTGTTTGTAGCTCTTGAAAATGTAAACTTGTTATGTAAACCAACAGCTGTTCTGATCCCCGTCTCGCCCTGCGTAGGACGGGATCACAGCTAAGTACAGTATGTGCAACCATAGATTAAACATACTTCCTTCTTAGTATGTTTACATACATCCTAAGGGAGTATGTTTAATCTATGGTGCAACTATTGGTTGATGTAAGAACAAGTTTCTTTATTCAATTATTCATTGTATTACAATTTGTTATAGTAAATGCCAATTTTATACATATAATATGTTGGTTATAATTTAAGGAGTAGAGTAAAGGATCGTAAATATAACATGGCCGACATCCAAGATAAAGATATTAAACCAGAGGGGTCGGTTCAATTATTGAATTTGTGGCTTGGCAAGATAAAGAACGGTTCGCTGTAAATGGGGCGATTCATTTGAGGGGGAGGTTTATCAAATAAGCGGCAACTTCTTCGTCTGCCGCAGGTTCATAAATACAATCGCCCAGTCAAACCTAGTTCATTGTGTAAAATGTCTTCAAATTATCGTTAGACTTTGCCTTAAAAAACTTCTTAGTCGTTTGCGAAACTGTATTTTAATTGTTTAAGAGTCATTCATTTTCACTCTCTGATACTTGTCTTAGTTTTGACATCTTCATTCGATTTTAACAAAGGGGAAAACGATTGTTATTAAATTATAGGCACTCATCTTTTAAATTGTTTGAAAGATGAAGGTTCATATTTAAGTTAAAAGCTTTCGACGGGAGACTGATTTTCGAAGTATAAGATTCGTTTTGAATTAGGCTCAACATACCTAACGGTTAAACTCAGAAGTTAGATGTAAATATCTCATAACGTTCTTTAACATGTACCAATAATCCATGTTGGCTGTATTTTTTACGCCCTCTTTAAGAGTTGTTTTTCAAAATATAGTGTTTGCACATTATTTTTACCATGTTATATTTTCATTTTACTTTGATCTTATCTAGGTCAACGGGACTCCGATCAAGTCCGTTTATGGTTCTTTAAGATCGTCTCTAAGCAAATGAATAAGTAACGATGAAGCTAGCTGGTTACCTTAATAAAATATAATCCAACTTTCAAACTCAGTAAGAAATTCCAATGCTATATTTTAAATGGCCGACTTGGCTATAACTACAACAAGTCCATCCATCGCAAGGCCTCGTTGCGAGCCAATCCTAACAAAGTTCTTATAAATTAAATGACATTTGTTTACACAACTATTTTATCAACAAACAATTATATGAAGTTCAATCTATCTATGGCCACCAATTCCTTCCGAGAAAATGTGTTTGGTACCATTAAGAACGAGGAAAAAGGACAAGATAACCAATGTAGTTACTGGACTGAAATCACCTGTGTTCCCTAATACTGAACGGGGTCCTCATTTATCCGCTCTTTTATCAAAATATTTTCACAATACAGTATTATTTTCTAGCATCAAAACATGTCGTGTTATTATCCTTCCAGTGTATTTAAAAAGGGTGATTTGGTGACCATTTAAAATTATTTGATCAGTTTATTTCACATACTTAGGTATCAATAGTAACCTAGGTAGGTATTGGGTATAACTAGTATCTAAATATATAAAAGGCAAAGCCCTCACTGACTCACTCACTCACTCACTCACTCACTCACTCACTCACTCACTCATCACTAATTCTCCCACTTCCCATTTACCTAGCAGGCTGAAATTCGGTACACCAATGCTTTGGGCATTAAATAGGAAAACTAAGTAGTTTTTGTTCTGATCGGGCTTTCGGGCTCCACCCCAGTTGCTCTGGAGTTTCCCATGTTAACCTTATGATTTTTCATATTTAAAAGGAATTAATCAATCTTAACAGCTGTTTCAATTAAACAAGTTGGTTCTGTTCTATGATGTTCAATAGCATTAAAGTTACAAGAATTAACAACAGGGTGCAGCACTATTATTTTTTGTTATTTATGACAACAGCTAATTTGCAACCATAAGGCGAGTGAGCGTAGTGAACGAACTTCAACCTGGAGGCGAGTTAGCGTAGCGAACGAACTTCAACCAGGACGTGATTGAGCCATGCGAATACTCATGAAGTTAAACGGGGCAAAGCCCGCGGGTACAGCTAGTGTGTGATAAATCATTACGTCGTTAATTTCGAAATTTAGTCTCCTCTGCACCCCATGACGTTTATAGTGTAGAGTTTATTTTTTCCTTTTCATAAAATTGATGATTGTAAGGAACCAAATAAAAAATATTCTTCTTGAGCACAGTGGTGTACTCTGTTTAAACAGTAAACAAATTTCATTAGTAACAATTTCGTAATTTTTAATTACTCGATTGTCTGGTGTGAACGTGTGACGTGTGACTGTGTGAGTCAACATCAACATCAACAACGGACGAGTTGACCAGGGAAGCCTTGTGGTGCACCTTGCAGGGACTTAAAGGGATTCCTTGAGTCAACAAGGTATACGGGGTGCTAATACAGACCCACACAGAGATATGCAACAATTATTGTCAATATCCTATGCAAACATCTTAAATTTCCCTAAAAAAATCAGCATTCACTAACATAACCGTGTTTTATCTCGCACGATTCCATCTTCGTCAGACAATGTAGAAAGCCGCGGCCTATTTAAGTTTCTCAAATGAAATTAGATCCGAACTGCCAAGTTGTGTAATCAGATTGGCAGTTCTGATAGCGAAATTTGTTCGGTGTTTACCGCTAAGTTGCGCTGGGTCGGAGTTGGCCAACTTGGGAAATAGAACCTCTTTAGGTCTGATTTTTAACGGTGTGGAACATTCGTGATAGAAGTTAGCGGATTCTTTTCTGAATCTATTGTCTTTCACGAAGTCGAGTAACAAACGACTCTGTTTACCAGATTTATTTGGTACTTGGTAGTTTTAAGTCTGAAATACGAAATTTCAAAGTGAGTCACAATCTTTTACAGCGAAATTTAAATTGCTCGCCAACCACCGATTTACAAAAATCCCTCTAATACAAAGTTTTTGTTACCCAACTTTTTCTTTGAACAGAACTTACTGGTATGGAACGCTGATCTGTCACTTAAAACATAAGAAACCCCTCCAATCCGTATGCATTCAAGGTGTGTTTTACTGCACCGTTTACTTTGATGTATCAAAAGGGACATCTCAATCTTTGAAACATGCTCTCATTTCGTATACTATTGATATACAACCTATGAGAGAAGAGATGATAGCACGTAACACATTTGTAGTTTTCCAAGTCCGCTGGGACAATGGGTGACATCATTACATATTTCTCTTGCCATTCTACCAATGGCGGTTGCCATTCTGCGAATATTAAGGTCTATTAGATCATAGGGAGATGTCCGTAGGACATCCTAGCCTTAATGTCTGAGATAGACTTGGGCTATGAAAATGAACTGGAACTAATTGAGGAGAAGCAATGAGGTCCATAGACACTTTGTAATCGTACGTTTAACCTTAAAATTCTAATACAGTACTTTATCCTCTCTAGATAGCTGGCTACAAAATAAAAATATTATATTGCTTCGTGCATGAAGATTGACCACATAGTAAATATTTGTGAACACATATTGTTTTTCTCTATACAAACGGAGCAGATTCTTTGGACATCAATATCTAATGTTAAGGATATAAACACGATTTACTTGTTGTTTCAATATTTTACAAACGTAGTGTGTAACCCATGTTTCCTTGTTACAGAGGAGCTTTCTCCGTGGTACGAAGATGTGTTCAGAAATCCAGTGGCCAGGAGTTCGCGGCGAAAATAATCAACACGAAAAAACTCTCTGCGAGAGGTAAGTACGATTTAATTCTTGACTACAGTTATATTTTTTTCTACTTTAATTTTGCTAGATCAAGCCACTCATGTTATGTTCTTCTAATTTAATTTACAGTGTAAGTCTGATCCTCAAGTTAATCCTGATTTTTAAAAGAGAACCTTGTGTAACCTGAGTCTTAATATCTGAAACCAGGTATAATTTTAATTCGAGTTATGTATTGAATCTGTGTTTTGTTATAATCTTTCATAACTTCAACCAGGTTTAGCGCCTTATTGTAATTTTTTTATGGCTTTTTATCTATTTATCTGGATTATTATCTAGCATCAAAATATAGATCAGCAGAACGCTGATAATATAATTAAATTTTGAAGTTTTAAAGTTATTATTAAAGTATTAGCATTAATTATACAGGCAAAATATAAATTTGTCTCGGTGTTTACTCTTTACATACGTTTACATACAAATTAACATGTTGATAAATTCTAACTCTAATGTCCGCTCTTAATTATTGAAACAATAGTCTCTGTACAATAAAAATTGAACAAATACCGAGTTAAAATATTTTCCAAAATTCACGATTTTTAATAGTGACAGGGTAGGCAATGTTTGAGATTGCCCTTTTAAAAATAAATTTCTCGTATAACTAATTTACACAATTTACTCCTAGAAATAACTTGTTAGTAACTGACACTTTCTCCTTATATTGTTTTAACATTGCATCCCCTATATTATGTTTCCTATTTAAAATATTCGAACAATTGTTGTGTGTTTTAAATAGTAGAACGTTCCAAACTTCATTTATCTCCTCAGGTCCCATTACGCAACTCCCAGTTTGGTGGACCATCGGCTCTGGACCTTTAACAATGTTTCGTAACATTTTAATTGCAATTACTCTACTACCAACCTCAAACGTATACGTTGTTGTTTTTATTTTTCATTTAGTACCACGCTAGGATTGTCCGTTAGTCGTTATTGTATTTTCTCCGTAAACCAAAAACCTTTAAACTTTTCGTTTAAAGGATTGCAGACTAGATTGTATGTTTCATATCGATGGATTGCAGACTCCAATTCGTGTTACAATTTCAAGGCAACGTTACTTTATAGCCATACAACACCTTAAACTGGAAAAGTTATGAAATTATAATAATGCAATAAAATTAAATAAAAATAGTTATTTAAAACATATAATGCCAAAACGCTATTGAAACGAAATAGTTATGGATGCTGAAGTTGTCATTATATTCATACGTTCTTGCTACATACTTGCCTTTCATTAAACGAATCCAATTTACCAAGACGTTTATATTTTTAACGAAATGGATTTTCTTCGTTATTAAATTGTTAATTATGTATTTCATACTTTTACGCGTATACATTTTTAGTACTACGTGTAATTGACTATAGAAATTAAGAACATTATGAAGAATGCTGTTCCGTTAATAGTTTATTCTGTTTGTTAGTAATACAGTACTAACATTGCACCCAGTATAATAAGAGAATGTTTTTTTTTTACAAACCATATTATTTTTTTATGTGAAACCCTTGCACACTAGAAAAATTGATTTACGTTTTGCTGTATGCTTTATCATGGTTTTTAATGTATCTAATATTAAAATCTTCTTAAATCATTTTTTGAACAACGAGTTACGACGCATTTTAACAAAGGGAAATGAAACTTTGACCATAAAATCATAACTGTTCTCATAAAGAGGCCTCATATTGCTTGTTTATAACCTCTCTAATTTGATTAAACTCTGGCCGCATGGAACTCCCCACAGCATTTCCAAGCCGATGCATGTGGGTTCCTTTATAGTATCGTTTTACAAAAGAAAATTGTTAGACGTTGTCAGCAAAAAAATCTTATAAAAAAAAGTCTTATATATAAGTAGGTAGGTAAAAGTCAGCATTATATTTAGTTGGTAAGATATGATTATAATCGTTTCTCAACTGCTTTCGCTGTGTGTTGTTTGGTTTGGAGAAAAACTTAAACTGATTTAGTATGGTACTAGAAGAAAATAATGAAATATCACTTTTAATATGCAGCCGATGTTATGATAAAAGTTCGTATTTCGTTGCAAAGCTGTAAGAGGTATATGTAGGTACTCGTATATTCAGAAAGTTTGCCAGTTAACACTAAATAACTTCTTGATCAGCATTGTACGTGTTATTAAATTTACGGAAAATTAATAAAAGATACGTCTAATAACACTAAAAACATATATTAAAATTGCGAAATCATCAATAGGCGAATGACACACAGGTTGGGTCTGATGATTGGAGTGTCCATTCGAAATCTATCACCACTTGTATCATCTTGTATGTATATTTATCAACTTGTGAGTTAACAATATAAGCGTAAATATATGTTTTAAGTTTCATTAGACGTATCTTTTATTTACTTTCAGTTAACACTTAAGTAATAATAATAATAATGCACGGGAATGTTACTATGATATATTAATATTTTTTAAACGTTTTTACATTTTGTACATAGGCCTATGTGATTTAAAATACATTTGCACATTTACTCCTGAGCTCCTGAGGTCGTTAGAACCAAGTTGTTTTTTGACTTCGAAAAATTTATTACCTTTGGTATTTTGCTACTTTCATAGTCACGCCAAACCTTTCCCTTCTTTGCGTCCTGAGTCTTCCTAGAAGGGAAACTCATTTTGGGTTTCATTTCTACACCTTATTTGTTATTGTATTTTCAGTTCTATTTACACAACCATACCAACGTATTCTTACTTTTTCTAATCTCTTAATGTATATAGTTTGTGCAAATTCGTGATTTTTTTTTATATAACTCTGTCCTTTCTTATTCTTCAAACCTTGGAACGAAAAATGTTTTTAATTTGTTTTGAACTGTTCTTGTAGTACTCTAATCTGTTGTATATTTAGCGAAGGAATCAATTATAAATCAAATACTTGTGATTTTCGTATACTGTATACTATTATTTTACAATAAGAAAAATACAGGGTGGTAATAAAGTCCGAAGACAGTTAAATATTTTAAAAAATAATGTAGATAGACCTACAATACTTGGTACAAAGTTACAGAGCATACAACTTTATTTTAACACATATTCAGTGATCTAATAACTCTTCAGGGGGACGGCCCACATGGAGTCAGGAGGAAATCTTAAATAGAAGCAGAGGTTGACATGTACATCAAATTAAAGGTATTTACTAGCAGAATATACTGCCGCAAATTTGAACTCAAACGGACAACCGAGCCAAGAATGACAGTTGTTCAAAGATTCATTTAATTTGTATTGCTATTACACGCTTACTCCTCAGGGGGTACAGCAAGAAAATTGTTAACGTAAGCATAGGTCGATATGCACATCAAATTAAAGGTCTTCACTAGTATTACAATGCCGTAAATTCAAGCTCAAAAGAACGCCTGAGTAAAAAATGGCAGTCGTTCAAAACTACAAAATGGCAGATTCAAGAAATTTTTGAATGGCTGCCATTTTGCGCAGGATCAACCTTTTGAAGTGCGGTTGGCGGCATTGTATTCTACTAAAACATACCTTTCATTCGATGTGCATATTGACCTATGCTTCCATTTAAGATTTTCGACCGACTCATTGTGGGCTGTCCCCCTGAAGAGTTATTGGATCACTGAATATGTGTTAAAATAAAGTTTTATGCTCTGTAACTTTGTACCAAGTATTGTAGCTCTATCTACATTATTTTTTTAAATATTTAACTGTCTTCGGACTTTATTACCACCCTGTATAAGGCAGACAACATTACTTAAGATTTTATTCCTGATGAAAATAAAATATTATTCCTAATACGCTTTCGGAACAGCCGTAAACGATTGGCTCTGTAAAATGTTTTTATAATATACTGATCGTGACATCTCGACCAAACCCTGGTAAGAACCGCTCGGCTTTGTTATAAAATAGACTTTGGCTTGTTGTTTTTACAACTTTTGTATTCGGTTGTAAAATATTGTTTTATACGTTAGCTTGGTTTTACAGCAAGGTCTTGCTTGCAAGTATTAGTCAAGTAGTGTGGTTATAGATATGATGTTTTCGCTTGAAAAGAATTTAGAAAACTTGTTAGCCTATTTACATAAAGCTATATTACGCATTATATGCGTAGCAGCAAAACTATCTGTCGTGGAGATATTTTCCACCATGAAAGATCTATACTTTTCTCGTTTTATATTAATCAAAAATTAAAGGATCTGATACCTCAAGGGTGGTTTGATCAATCGATCAGACACAAATTCAAATACCAATCTAAAGTGGTGTGTCTCTGTTATCAAATAAAAAAAAACATTCTATGTCGTTTGGTAAGGAAGACAACATTTTCCTTGGTGAGCGTGATTGTAGAAACTTCAATTACTCGTAAACAAAATTTTTTGTTAGGTTTTTAAGGGGATTGTCACAAATAGGGGAATATCAATTTTATTAAGGATATAAAATTTGTTTGCTGACTATTGTTTGGTAGATAATCAAAACTTCGTTTGGAAACTTCAAATGCGGTGACGTGCCAGCCATTTTTTTGTATAGACAAATGATCAAATACAGCGTTCATAGTTGGGCGTATACTTCTTAAATTTAAGTACCGCTCCACCAAATTTGCGGCTTTCTCATCAACTAGAGAAATCTCAAGTTTCATGGGAATTGTATCCTCAACTAAATTTCCGAGGTTAAATAGCTACGCAGTAATATATAGCCATTCGATAAAGTAATGGTTATTTGGAAACAAATGTTTGACCGGGTACATTCGATATAAATATAATATTCATGAATGACACATGCGAACAGTCTACGGGAGTGTGGAAGTAGAAGAGTGAAAGGGTGGGCTGGGAGGTTACCCTCTCAAAAATCAATAGGGGCGGCTGCCGCTGCTTCCCCACCAGTTGCATGCATCGTCGGTGCCTGGCCGGCGCTCGGCGGCGTGCGGCCCAGCCCCTGTGTGCAGTGCACACAAAACACAACACACACAAAACACAACACACACAAAACCCGGTATACACTGTCGATCAATCTCCTGTT